CAATGTTCTTATGAAGGTACTTAATGTGAATCCTTTTTGGATATAGCAAAATATATAGTATACATACGTGCATCACTGTCAATTTAGGTGTTAGATGATACTTTAATACTTTTACAAATAATTACTGATTTTTCAATAACTTCGATTTATATTGAATAAATGAATTAAATTAAAAATTCAATTGCTAAATTAATACAAAACAATATAATGTTTATAATAGCAGCATATTTGCCAGTTATCATAAACAACCAAATTTCAATAAGTTTAATCAACCGACTTTAAATAAAGAAGATATTCTTAATTCAGGTTTTTTATGTTTGTTACCTCAAAACTTTGTTATTTATGAACAGATTTGGTGAATTCTTTATTATTCTGAAAGGAATCATGTTCAGGTGCATCTCATAGAAATTTTATCAAATCAGTTCAATAGTTTCAAGTTTTAAATCAAAATGACTGGTTATATCCCGATTGAAGTTGATTTTTTTTTTGTGGAACTAAATCTATTATTTTCATGTTACTCATTCAATAGAGACAAAATGATTGTCAGGATATTTTCCGTAAGGTGACGATGCAGTAAGAATACAATATGTCATCTTTCTTTTTTATCCTCAGGATGTCGTAAGAGCTGTTTACGGGAACTTGGCATAATACACCAGTACAAGAGAAGGAAAACTCGAAATAAAACCTTATTGCAAGCAGCTTGGATCGCTTGATAACAGTAGACTAATATTTTTCTTTTATGGCGAGAGATCCATAGCCAACTGTTGGGATTGTTACGATTAAGGATAGTTGGGTTATTTTACAAATCTTTCCTTTATCATCACATAAAGTTATCCACGGTTAAATACAATATGTGTAGATGTTATGTTACAACATCTAGATGATTTTCTAGAATATGATCTTGTTTTACAGTTAGTACGGTTTGTTTTATTTTGGGGAAATATATTAATATTAAATAAAAAGGGTATATTTATGAATAATTTTCAATATAATTATTTTCTAATGATGAATAACATCACCACTTTAACAGTATTGTGTCATTATCCTTTCCTTTTACTAGACATAAAAATTTCGTTATCAATTTTTATATTTGTGTTATGTGTACATGTATATGTATTTTATAAAGAATATAATAAAATCGAACGTCATTATACGAAATTATTAGCGATTACGATTATAGAATAAGAGATTACTTATTTACGTTGAATAACATCATCAAATTAGTACCTAATATCCTTATTATTACATTGCACGTCACAATAGTCAATTACTTTTTAAGCACATTAATTGGGGAACGTGTAACTAATGAAAAGTGAAATACGACGTTATGTATTGCTTAAATACCGATTTTATAACGTGAATACACGTGAACCTCTATCAGGTTAGGAAACGGTTCATCAACCTGAAATCCAGTGATAAGTAACTTAAATTAAAGTACACAGTTTTCCCAGAATAATGTTTCTACAATATTATAAAAAATAATTCTAAATACTTTTATACAAACGGCGGTGGCAGTTTTTTTACTACTGTAGTGGAAAGGGGGAAAAGGGATTGTTAGTAATGGTGACTGAGAACCCCATTGGTAGTAATATACCCAACCAGGTCGAATAATCGCGGTTCTCTCTGGAAACTATCATGGTTAATTCCTGATGAATTTATCATGATGGGCTAACTGACCTGTTTTCATTCTCATTTATCACCCTTCACTGGTGCTCCGCCAGCGTATTCTGTTAGCGCAGGCGGTGTTACCATATCGTTTTCACCCATAAAAAAAAAACTATAGTGGTAATCTAGTAAACTACCCGTAAGATGGTAAATAATTACCGTAGTCTATAGATATCTGTAACACCAGAGATAATTATTATTATAATGCTATGCTTGTATTACTAGTTAGCAATGCAAGCATAGTATTATAATAATAATAAATTAATACTTATTAAAAAAATCTTATACCCAGCTCGATGAATCTTATCTTATAATTTACAGAGGAAACTTATTAGATAGTTAATTCCATATTTTGAGTAAACGTGAGAGGAAACTACTCTGAAACCTGTGTATGGCTATTTGTTTTCTAGTTTCCATGACCATTCGGAAGACGCTGTATAGTCTTGTCTAGAATTTGAATCGCTCTTGTCTGTAGTTTTATTAGTAATCTTTGAAGCTAATCAATATCGATTTTTATTTACAAACATTTTCCTGTTTTATGACCATAGTCCTATTAACAGGATTATGAACAAGTATTTATTAGCAATTATCTTAAGTAAGAAAATTTGTTCCTTATTTTTCATTCTTAAATGCATAAGCCTAATTTTTACCAACCAGTCTTTAATCACGAGTAATATTTATTTGGAGTAGGTACATTTACAATTATATTTTTTATTATAAATTCGTAATTTTGTCTGCAATATTGTATTGAGAGATCTAATATATTGCATTATCTTAATGTACAAAAAATCTTATCTAATTTTAATGAAATTTTGTAAAAGTTTATTGTGTTCTCCAACTTGAGAGATAGGATAGTTTTTATAGCAAAATAATAAAAATCGGGTAGGTAATATTCTATAAAGTCAACTAAAGCACAATACATTGCTAAACAATTCAATTATTCAACAGACATCAAGAAAATATGGGTGCTATTTATTATTGTTAACCCAAAAGCGTAAACAATTTGAAATCCTTCCATTGTAATATAAACAATATAACTCATTAAATTATTAAAGGAGAGTATAATCTGTAATTCTGTATAATATTACAACACAATGTAAAACTGCTCAGAATATTGATGACGACTTACTAAGTAAGAGTTACTAAAATATATTATAAAACATGATATATATTTATTTCAATGATTTAAGAATATAAGCAACTAATAGAAGTAGTTGAAGAACTATTCAAACCCTATTTGATTCTCAGTACAAAGTCAATACTACCTATAAGGGAGTAATTTTCTTTATTGCCTATACGTACATTAAGCCACATTTAGCTAAATGGGTCTGTGAAGTTCAATAGCTTTTACGTGATGCCCGGACAAAGAAATTGACAGACATATAAGATCTAAAAAGTAAATCTTTAACACTGTGATTCGCGCAATTGTATAACAAGAATTCTTTAGAAATATATTTCATGATTATTAAAAATTAATTTGGGTAGTTTGAAATAGCAAGTTATTAATTATTTGAAATTCAAGAAAAGCAATTAAAAACGATCAGATTTATTGAAAATCTGCATAAAACAGTCTTTTATGCAGATTCAGATGAGACTTCGTTGAACTTTGATCTTGGTGATCCTTTTCTTTAAAAAGCGTCAAAAAATTATGCTGAATTTTGCGGCTAAAGATTAATTAATTTGTTCACCCTTTGAATTAAAATTCGCTTTATTTCCGAGAGGTAATTAAAAGGGTCTGTGTGTTACCGCTAAGTCTCTCAAAGATTTCCTTAAAATGTTAATTGGTATTATTTATCTTAGCATAATATCATTGTTAATAATACTTTACAACATAAATGATAATTTTATGGGTGTGGTTTATATTATTATGTGATTTCTAGCATTGAGCTGTTTAATAAAATAATATTGATGGGGATGATGCTGAATGCTTGTGTATAATTTAATATCGCATATGGTTATATTTCCGTGAATCCAAACAACTTAATGATCTCAAAGTGCGTAACACTATGTGTTCACTGAAGTGACCTATTTAGTTGTCCTAATTTCATATAAACTAAAAAAGGGAACTATCTGCGTCATGATATGTCAATAGTCGGCCATCATTCCGTCGAGTCAGCTTGCAAAGTCTGGCAGTCTGCCAGAATTCGCTTCTGTGCATTTTCCGTCGATTTATGATAATTTCATCGGGTTGGATTTTACCCAAAATATTGGATTGTGTCTTTAAATTCATTAATTTCTTACATACAAGTAAAAACGTAGTAGACATTGGCTATAAATTCATGAACATTAGTTATAACCATTCGATTAGTATAACATTTGGAATTCGATGTAGGTGCTTAATAAACTTATAAACTACCAAAATCTGTTACTAAATATAACCAGTCATAGGCATGTTACTGTGTCTAAATGATGTTCTAGGTTTACTATCGATCTAGTTTTAGACTTTATTTTAGGAAATATATTTTCTAAATAGACCAGATTTAGATGTTTTGATTGTCCTTTTACATATATATTGACTGGTTTCAAGAAAGTTTAAAGACTATATATTAATTATCTGGGATCTATTTACATATTTATCTTTTACTAGCTGCCTTCGGAATTTCATGTTTCTAACTCTTTCACATTAAATCGAATAAAATTACGTTAATTTCAGATACTAAATCCTATTTGTAAATTATTTAATTATTATTATTTCAATTCCTTTATTGTATTTGCATCATATATATTTATAATTATCTTCAAATATTTTGATGTTTATAGTTCTTACTAATATTATAATTGCGAAAGTGAGTTTCTTTGTTTATTTGAGACCCTTTAGCACATTAACGGCTTAATCCAGTAATAGCTAGAGTTAATAAAAATATATTGAATATATTATAGGTTAATCTTTACTATTTTAAATAAGGATTCAAAAATAACTAGTTGTAGTCCACAATTCAAATACATTTAAGTACTTATCCGTTCTGTCGTGAAATATTCAGTTGGTACACACCTGAGGAGCTTTAAATGTTACTAAGCTGGAGAAAGATTTATGGGTTTTACATCGGTATATTCTTTCGCTACGGTAAAAGCTAAGTTAAATAATAGTATCTAAAATTTGCACAGTATTTCATTACATATATTCTCGTAAAAGACAAGAAGACTAAAACTAAGATAACATGTAAATAGGAGTTTTTATTAATGTTCAAATAGTAAATTTCTTTTAATGCCTATATTAACTGATTATTTATAATCATTTTCACGTTTATAAAAGCAATTTTATATTATATCCCATGATTGGAATTTTTTTATTGTACTTATATAATAGATATTTTTATAATACTTTATTGTTCCAGAGAAACTCGAATAGCATCTGCTGCTGTATTATCAGGAGGTACAGGACGTTCAGAAAGAACACTTACAGCTTTCTTTGCTCTTCTGAATCTAGTACCAGGGCTAGACGGTGAAAATACATGGAGGCAAGTCGGGCGAGTTGAAGGCCGCAAAGTTAGTCTTCATACTATTGTATGGCCAGGTGGACGTCTAGTAGCTCATGGACAGTCAGACGGTGCACGCACCATTTTTCGGATTGTTACTGCTCTAGCTCCACCTTTTGTAATGGAAGGAGAACTTGACGAGGATGGTCAATGCCTTCGAGGTTTACCTTGTCACCGTCCGCAAACTTCTGATCGTGATAATCTCACGCTTGCATTTAATGATTTAGACAGAGACACAGATCAAGAAACAAGTGATTTCTTTTTCCCCACTCCTAAACCTATGTACTCTAAAATGGCTACACATTGCTGTTATGGTTTAGCTATGGACCTTTTAGAAAATATAGCTCAAGAATTGGAGTTTGATTTTCATTTGTATATAGTAGAAGATGGTTTATACGGATCGAGAAAACTGGTGAAACCATTCCATAAATTTAATGAATATAGGAGTACAACAAATGAATTTTTATTAAACCAGCAAAGCTATCGTTCTCAATACCGTAATGGATATAAATTATATAGTGAAGACTATATGTTCGGAGATGATCCAGAAGAAGATCCTGAAAAATGGACTGGTATTGTAGGTGATTTAGTTTCTGGAGCTGCTCATATGTCATTTGCAGCTCTAAGTGTATCCTCAGCAAGAGCAGAAGTAATAGATTTCAGTCAACCATATTTTTTTAGTGGAGTTTCAATATTAGCTGCACCAAATCAAAGACCTGATATACCTTTACTAGCATTTCTTCTACCTTTTTCCCCAGAATTGTGGATAGCAATATTTACATCACTTAATGTAACTGCAATCGCTGTAGCAATTTACGAATGGTTATCACCCTTCGGGTTAAATCCTTGGGGTCGTCAAAGATCAAAGAACTTCAGTATATCAAGCGCCCTTTGGGTGATGTGGGGTCTCCTATGTGGACATTTGGTCGCCTTCAAAGCCCCAAAAAGTTGGCCTAACAAATTTCTTATAAACGTTTGGGGTGGTTTTTCTGTGATATTTGTCGCCAGTTACACTGCCAATATAGCCGCCTTAATAGCCGGATTGTTTTTCCATAATGCCGTAGACGATTATCAAGGACGAAGTAATGTATGTATTTATTTTCTTAAGTATTAATTGAAAATTTTGTTGATATACAATAAGTGTATAAGTGTACAATTTATTTTTAGTGGCTTTCTCTGCGTGTGGGAACAGCCAAATCATCTGTATCTGAATACTATGTCCAACGCAATAATCCACAGCTGGCACAACAAATGCGTCGTTATGCGCTTCAAGATATTGAAGATGGTATACAACGGCTCAGGTAAAAGCTTTTCTTAAAATATTTTAACTTTATTATATAAATTCGCCATGATTTTTTTTTATTCTGCACTAAATGTAATTAATAATTTTTGATCACTTAATAGTAATAATAATAGGGAAGTACGGTAGAAAGATGTAATAGTTATTATTTTATGGTACACCTGTAACTATTTTATTTTCCTTTACTATTTCCTCTATTATGTATTATTATAGAATAATGTTACTCAGTGATATATATGTTTTTATTGTATTTTTTATTGTGGCGGGGTATATTCACACAGTACTCTCGGTTTTAGAGGACAGTTTTTGTACGGAACACTTCACGTTTATATGGGTATACTTAACGTGTTTACATTGTAAATATTATGTTTGTTTATAAAGTTCAAATGCAACAATTCTCTGCAAAATTTAATCCTATATTTTTTTAAATTATTTTTAGAAATGGCACATTGGATCTTCTTATAGCAGACACACCTGTTTTGGACTATTATCGTGCTACTGATCATGGTTGTAAACTGCAACGCGTAGGTGATCATACTCTTGCTGAGGATACATATGCGATCGGTATGGCAAAAGGATTTCCTTTAAAGGTATCTATTATCTGCAAATTTTTAATAACTATAAATGTACGTTGGTAACAATCTGGATTCTTTTCACTTACCTGGGCCCGCTTTTTTATAAAAAGACTCATTCTCTAAAGATCCATTGTAAACGTTATTCTTGTTATAATAGTCTAACAGCGAGATTATCTGCTATTTGTTATTCTGAATTAAAATCGTTTAGTATTGCTTATTTTGAAAGCAAAGGATAATGATTACTCTACCTTAGAATTTTTCTTTATAAAATATCAAGAATATTTGTAATATCATTGCTAAATAAGAAAAAACACTACTGACTTAGCCTGCTAAATTGTTCAATCTATATTTTTCACTAAAGTATGAAGTAAGACGTTTTTTTATTTCATACTAGCTTTAAAGGGATGTAATTCTTTACTTTTTCGAACGATTTTTTTAATATTTTATTAGCCAAAAAAGATGCAGCCATTCTAAAGAAATGCTCTTATATATATTTGGCAAGAAATATATTAATTTGGTAGACAGCCATAAGCAGACACTAACATATACAAATAATACGATATATACATTAAAGTTTCACATAAATCATATGAAAAATAAAACTTTGAATATAAAAAACTTATTAAATCGATCGATAATATTGTGGTACAAAAAATATGTTACCTCTGCGTTGACTCGCGCTGATGTTAAAATGTAGGCCGTGCATGGCATTTTCTAATAAGATATCTAAAAGCTACATCTATATCGAGTAATGTATATTTTCATCAAGAGTTCGTATAGAAGGGAGAACCAGTGGTGGGGGATGGTTCCGGATCTTTGCTAGGCAAGATTGATGGATAACTCACGAGCCTTCTAATGTTGTGATCGATAGCAGGATGTCATGTAGCGCAGTCTGCCGAATATATGTCATTTTATCTTGACATTGTTCAATATACGAAGTACCTTTGAGGTTTACGAGGACCAGTGACATAAATCAATGTAGGAGTTTAGACTGTGTTATTTCTAATAACATCGATATATTAGTAATAACGTATTCATGTTGAATAAAACAAAATTGTAGTAAATGTTGGTCAAAAATATAAAGTAAAATCATTATGTTTTTGGTCAAAATTGTAATAACGAACAGCATGGTAAATTTTTAATCGAAAGTTTTCATTTCAATATTTTTTTTTTTATGATTTTTCTTTTAAATTTACATGTAAAGAATATAATCATAGAAAAAGGCTACATATGACATATTGGAAACGATTTACATATTGGTTGGACCGATACATTTGCTATGTTTGTTCTCGAATTCAGTACAGCATGTTGGCTCTACTGACCCAACATCCGCATGTTAGCAGCCAATTCGGCAGATCAACCCGACTGATCGGGTATATTATTATTCTTGTCATGCAGTGAATAAACGCTTTAATGTACAATAAAAAAATTAATACCTTATTTGGCATGGTTTAAAATTGTAAATGATTTGATATTAGAATCAAATAAGACTTTTTGTAGTAAATATATGACTTTACGAAGCACAGAGTTATTTATATAAACTTTTTCAGACCCCCTGTCGTCTCAAGTGATTAGGTTGTTACGTTGTTTTATGATTACATATACAGTGACAGCTTTGTCAACGTCCGATTACGGTTCCAATATTTCAAGATTCAATTATAGACCAAATTTTGAATATTAAAAATTCATGCTGGAGAAATTTCTTTGCAGAATACTGTAAAGTAAAATGATGTTCTAGAAATAAGTAATTAATCAATCATAAATCTCTTTAGAATTTTTGTCTGTTTGTCTGTATGTTTGTGCACGCTAATCTCAGAAACGGCTCAACCAATTTGAATGTGGCTTCCACTAATGCATTGCGATTTGATCCATTTAACATTTATTGATTATTTTATTTAAATGGGTCATAAATAGAAAACTTATACCAATTTAAATAATCAGATATAAAATGTCATAAAATAACGGATCAGTTGAAATGGCTGAAACTTTATAAAGGTAGGTTATCATACTTTAACTCATAGGATATTTTATATAGCGATTCACGCGGGCAGTACCGCGGGAAACAGGTAGTTAATGAATAAAATTATACTTAACTATACTTATTTCATAAACAATTTTCTCTTATCTCACTTGTATCTCTCCGTATAGTTCTGGCATAGAATGGGCCACCCCTTCCTTTCCCTTGGGTGTCGTAAGAGACAACTAAGGGAACTTAATAGTTGAGGGATGGGCAGCAGCGCACTTCTTAAAATACTCCGAAACTTAACTACGGTTGTCAAGTTATCTATGTCCAGTAGTGGACAGTTAAATGGCTGATAAAATAATATGATGTGTAAACATTCTGGGGTTACCTATCTTCTATTATTAATATTTTTTAGACAAATAATTTTGATAAACTAGTTTGTCACAGTATCAAATATATTCTCGTATAAGTACTTATAAGTTTATAATTACTACAATATCAATCGTATCATTCCACAATATGCCGAATTAATATTAAAGATAGAAATAACTGTTTACTTTTATTTCAGGATAGTATATCGGCGGTCATAGCTAAATATTCATCAAATGGATACATGGATATTTTAACCGAAAAATGGTATGGAGGTCTACCTTGCTTCAAACTCAGCCCTGATTATGGAATTCAACCAAAACCACTAGGTAATTGTATTATTTATTAAACATAATGTACCATATCTGCGATTTTGTCACAGTGACCCGGACATGTTGTTCGGCCAAGATAAAAACCTTTATTCATTTTATGATAAATAATACCTACATGTATTTTAAATTTCAAAATTATTAATTATTGATTAAAGATTGCTTTCAGCATTATTGCGGACTTATGCCCGCCTTACTGTATTTATACAATTGTATCGATACATTTATTAATTCCTTTGCTTAGTCCCTATATTGTAGGAGCCAACATCTAACAGACACTGCATTTTACTAAGAATGTGAAAGTTTGTTACTCATTTAGGCTGCTGAATGAATAGATAAACAGGCAAAATTGGTACATAGATTAACGATATCCAGGGTATTATATATATAGGGTACTTTATACTAATTTATCTAGACAAATCTGTGAGTTACAGTTGATATAGAATATAAGTTAGAAAGTAATAATTTCAAGAAACGTTTTAGTCTGGCAAACAATTGTATTAAATAAAGATGAATGCTCAAGTACCTACTATTTAAGTAAGTTATTAAGTACACTAAATATAATTAATATTTTCCTTGAAAAGCACTATTCTATGCTTTAGCATGGAAGATATGCTAAAATGATTCAAATAAAACACGAAATTCAAAATATATTGTAATAAACATACATAATAATTATGTCTTATACAGAAACAGATATTTTAAAACATTGCATGGATGATTTTACAGTTGGCAACATTTTTACCTATCCCTTATACTTAATTAAATTACCATTCATAATTTAAAAGTATTAAAATATTCCACAATTGAGTACAAAAATTTTTATCATCCGACTTTTAACTTTCTTATCAAACATACAAATATTCAACGGTAGTGTTTGGAATCCATCTTTCAGCTTGTTTTACTTGTAAATGTTTATTATTATTATACATCTATAGGTTTATTTGTAGACAGAAAGTTCGTGGAAACTCACATAATATTATCTTAGTTGCTTTTGGTGTTTTTGTTTGTTTATAATGCCGTTATTAAATATGTTTGTCAGCAATCATTATCATTTTAATGTATATTCAGTAGATACATATATCTACATAGTCAGCTGCCTCGTCTCTAGCGGAAATTTCATTAGAATTTATCGCCACCCCCGCGTTAATCCAACCCCTCAACGAGGCGCTGTGTAGGGAGAGGTATTACCGTCGGTCGACCTAAAAGATTAAACATGGGATTTATCGTTTGAAAAAATGAGCTGAAACGAAGAGTATGTTTATTTCTTATTTAGTATACTCTTGTCAAAACATCCTTAAAGTAAAATGGCTTGAGGAAATTATATGATACTGAATTATTCCCTTGTGAAGGGCCTGGTACAGCAATGGACAATTAACGGCCAAAATAATGATCATAATGAAGTATTTCCCTCGTGTTGTAACCTTATTTAGTCCTCGAAAACTTTATTTGGGGAATAAGCATAGGTATCATATTCTTTTAAACTTTTGTAACTTTATCCGTAGAATTTTAATACATCTTTAATGTATTTAGATAACAGATATTTCTCAATTACTACTACTATTACAATTACATTTAGTTTTATTATTTAAGTGATATTAGTAATGTACTCGTACTATTAAATACTCTGCTATTATTTCAAATAGAAAATTAATATTTAAATATTTAAAATTTTTTTGGCAAGTACATAGCACAGAAACGTTGGAACGTTATACTCAAGTGGATATTTTTAATAAAAATTATGAGCAATTTTTATTTAGTGAAATTGTTTTTTTAGTAATTATTCTCTAGTTCATCATATGTTGATAAATCAATTCAAATTAAGGTACGCATTTTTCTTTAAGCAATCAACAATTCTGGTGTACCTACTATCTAAGTAACAGGGTTGAGGATATCTTGTAGTCTGAACTGCATAAAAAAACCTCAGGATCGGGGGAAAAGAATTGTTAATACTGGAGTCTAACAGCTCTATTACCAACAGGATGCCCGGTTGGGTCGACCTTCACATGGTTCCCCTTGGAAGCTGTAGATGAAATCTTTACATCCTTACCTATCGTCTCTCACTGGTGCCTCACCAGTGTATACCAATAGTGCAGGCAGGGCTACCACTTCATTTCTATCCATAAAAAAAAACCTGAAAAGATCTGTTATAAAATTTCGCGGAGTCAATATGGTTGTTTAGTGGATACATAATTAAAGTTTGATTCTCACGAAAAAAACCGACTTCAGTTGTGATAAAATATGTTGTGATAAGATATATTGATTTAAAAATTATACTACTAAAACGATTTTGTTAAAATTTCTATGAGACCAAATTGTAAATATATCCTTTTAGATGAAAATATATAATATTCCAAATCTGTTTTGAACTGACGTTGTTACGAGAAAACAAACATACAAAAAGAAAAAATACAAACTAATTGAGAACTTTTTTTCTTTTAAGGCGGTTGATAACTACAGATTTACTTAATTTTCCGTATTTGTATTCGACATTGTTAAAGTTTCAACATTAAATATATTAGGTGTCACATTTTGAATTAAGCGTGTTTACTACATGAGCATTTTGATTGCGTTACGTATTCTTATACAACTTGGAATGACAAACAAGCTGTCGATTTATGTGATAAGTGATAACGGTCAACATATCATGAACAGCATCATGAATATCATGGAAGATATAGTGTATCTATTCGGCATAAAGCTTACATTTTTTTATTAGATTCAATGAGGTTTAGTTCAATGACATTTAAATAACTAAAAGTGAAATTTATTCCAATTAATTAATATTATAAAAATATGTAATAATAAAGTATAAATATCAGTTAATGCCATTGATTACAAATACAGGTAATGTTTGTTCATATGATTCGATGATGAATCCCTCCGTAATATACAATCAATCAATATAACAATCTGCTCCTATGGACATTCAACAAATTGCCGACCTGATGGATTGTGTAATTGAATCGATTCGGAGTAAGCACGATAATCAAATCTATTGTTGGTTTTAATAAGAAATGTGTGAATTAGCTAATGATTGAGGTTTGTCCACAATCGTTTATTTATTTATAATCTTCCTAGTTTTTAATCCTGTCTTTATTTGCATGATTAGAACAAATAGCCTATGCTCTTCTATATTATAAATACTGTTTTGCTTTCACAACTATAAATACGCAGTACAATTAGCAAACTAATAATAAAAATTTTAACTAATTTTCCAGAAGTACAGACACCCTTGTTTGGGGGACACGAGTATATTTATGGGTTTTTATGCTTTTTCCAACAGGTGGAAATGTTTTTAATTCGTCTGTATTATTTTAACACGTTATTATCTCTAATTTTGAATTAATAATGATAATTCTTTTCAATATACGATTGAACTTAGCCCTTTGTAGATTTCATATTAAGTTTATGATAATTTAATTTAAGATTTTTTCCACATTCTTAAATTTCCTTAAAGAAATTCCATTAAGAGGAATAAACCAGTCTATGTACTCTTGTAACCCTAACTGCATTTCTATGTAATATATTTTGTATTATAAATTTTATAAACAATAAAAAATATGTTTCATATATCTGTGTATACCTAATATAAAATAGTCTGTTTTTTCGCATAAATATATTTCAACACGATTTGTGTTTCTATAGCAATGAGAATAATTATTGGTCTCCTTTTGTTGGCAAAAATTAATTAAAAAATAAAATAACAAATTAACCTTTTTTTAATATTACTAAGTTTTTAAATTGTTGTAATTCAGAGTTGACATCGATCAAATGACTAATAAAATTTTAATTAAAGGCAATCCAATTGAAATGTCATTTCATATTTTTACCGTAGAGATGAACTTTCGTCTAATTTAAGCTTTTAATAATTGTGATTTTATTAAAATAAAATTATTTTATAAAAAAATTGCTCTACAATATATATGGATAGTTATTATCTTAATGAAATATATTGAAAATAAAAATAATTAAATACTATAGTATTTTTGTACTTGTATTTCTACTTGTATTTTTACTTGTATTTCCACAAGTGTACTTTTAACGCTGTAGTATAGAGACCAGGTAGGCTATATGACGTAACGTAAAAAGAATAATGGCGACCATAAAACGAATAATCCGGTAATATAAAACAAAAAAAAAATATATAAAACGAAACCCGTGTCTCACACGGTGACAATTTAAAGATCTTAAGACGTAATTTCCAAATATATGGTATATATAGACAACTTATAAAATTACTTTATTACGCAGTGAAAACAAAAAAAAATGTATATTTTCTAAGTTAATTTTATAATTTCGTCATCAGTGTCCCATATTTATGTTCTGCATTGTTTTAGTACCAAATATCAAATTAAAGTTTATTGCTGAACAAAAAAAGAGTACAATTTAGTTGGTTTGAATATATTCTGAAAATAAATGTTCGCTCCAAATTATTATTTTACTCTGAACAATAACCTCGTCTAATTTAATTAAATTAGACGGTAGTTTTCATTAAACAAATTACCGTCATTTGAAGGTGTGGCAGCGGTGGCGGGCGTGTTCATTCTACTTGGAGTGGGAATGATCGTTGGCTGCCTCATATTGATTCTCGAACATCTGTTTTATAAATATACATTACCGGTCCTACGGCATCAACCCAAAGGAACTATTTGGAGGAGCAGAAACATTATGTTTTTTAGTCAGGTTAGTATAATTTTTTTACAATATGTGAATTCATTAATGTTATAAGCAAAATGCTGCGGAAAATGTGAGTTTTTGTTTGGTATCCGTAGTGTATAACAAGTATCTAATAAATATAGAACCACAGACTAGTGGAGGATGCGACGGTGTGTCGATCTGTTAACCGCGCATTTTCTATTTACACATCACGGCAGTAAGAAAGTCAGTGCAAATGACCAAATATTTTATTTGTATAAAAGTAACCTGAACAGTATCAATGCAGTGAGAGAATAAATTAAAAATAAATCAAGAAAAATATATGCAATTAAGTTTGCTTCTCACTAATTTTACATGTAATAATAATTGATATATATATATATATATATATATATATATATATATATATATATATATATATATATATATACATACAGACAATTCTGGGATTCCCTACGTAATGTAAGTGAATATTGCGCTGACGAAATAATAAAGCTAATTATTGTATTAATAATAAAAACTTGTTAAAGTAGTAAGTATAAATAAATATGCAAGTAATAATGATTTGTAATAACTAAATTGGTAAACCAATCCACAAATTGTCTGTCATTAAGTATAACAATTAAAATAATAGGTGCTATGGTTATTCAGTATTGGAGCACCTATATAATGTCAAAGGCTATCTGGGTTCCGTAACTTTGCCAAGGGGCATCCACTCGCACTTTGAAGGCACTTTGTTTGCTCTACTCAAGCGTGAAGCCAAGATGGCTTCTGGTAGGATTATGTCGGCCTAACCACAGTTCACTGCGGCTTTTAACGCTGAGCGACCACTTGTCTTTATAGGCGCGACATAATCTTTTTGAATTGTGTTTGTTACAGTTGTTTTCAATAATTATCATAATGTTTTTTATGCGAAATCAGTAAACCCCGATTTACTTGTATGTACCGCTATTTGATATTGATCCTTTTTATTTATTTATCTTTTTCCATACTAAGTACCTCGAGGGGTAGGTAAAGTAAAGCAAGTAAAAAAATATTCTTTTCTTGCCTCATTCAATATCAATTTCAATCATATATTCGGATTTTTAAGACTTCCTTCGATAAAAATAATCTGTCTTATTAACTCTTGTCATAATTGAACTCAATTGAAAAACGCGAGTCATCATTGACAGTTTCTTCTTCGCCTTTTGAAGAATAAACTATCCGTCTGCGCAAATAATTACAATTATACAATTCAAAATTATAACTGTAATATAATATTTTCCTTAAAAAAAAAAATAATCCGTTGTGTCTAATTTGTTATTTTCTTAATATAATACTTAATATAATGTATTTTGTTGCTAAAGCTCTTTTTAGCGAAGTTTCAGAAACTTATATAGAAGTTCAATCGACGTGAAACTTTGTGCAGTCTTTAAGGATAAGGATCGAAATTCTCACAAATTGGTGTAAACAAACACTGACTTACTTGTAACATAATTGTATATTTTACAATTTACATAATAATTAATACATATTAATATTTAATAATAACGATAATAAAAGGTACATATATGATAATAATTACATCATTTTAAATAATAATAAATAAACAGGTATTGTAGTAAATATAAATATAAATTTAAATTAATTTATAATATCTGAAGCAAATTAACGATGTAGTAAAATAAATAATAAAAATTTATATTTGTTACAGAAACTATACAGATTTATAAACTGTGTGGAGTTAGTGTCGCCTCATCACGCTGCACGAGAACTAGTTAATACCATTCGTCAAGGACATTTCACTTCACTGTTCCAAAAGAGTGTGAAAAGGGTAATTGGCGTTATTTATTATATAAAGGATGAAAGGGAGAAATATAATATTAAAAAGTTGAACTAATGGTTAACTTTTTACATAAAATTTTTCCCCCTTTTAATTTGAATTCTTATTGTAGTTTTAAGAAAGTATAAATAATATTCTAAATATTTATTTATATATATATAATAATGTATAGAGTAATTTTATGATAACAATAATGAAATAATTTGTAATTGATTATATTAAAAGATTATGACATATTTCAATGAACGTCTCTAAAGTTGTATTAAATTTACTTTGTCAGATTACGACAGGAGTGTACATTTGTTTCAGAAGGAACATGAACAACGCAGACGCCGCAAAAGTAAAGCACAATTATATGAAATGATACAAGCTATACGAAGGTAAGCCCAAACGCAGTATAGAAATGTATTTTTATTAAAAAGATATATTATAATTATCTCTTATGTCTCTTTAGGGTGCAACAACGTGACCATTCTTTGGGCTCTATAAAAGAACAAGAGCCAGCAGAAACAACTGAAGTATCAGAAGAACTAACTGAGTCTAAATTTCTATCGCCATCTCCTGAAGTTCCAGCACGTTCCCCAAGACAAGGTCGTTCTCCACGACAACTTCGTTCACCAAGAGGACGTCGAAAAAGATGTAGCCTTGCTGGTCTCAATGTGCGAAGATTTAGCACAGACTCTGTACTTGATTCAGAGTCGGTGTCCGTTTCCAATATATATGAGCGAACCAGTCTCAATATAGGCAGAAGACTAAGTAGAGACATCAGCTGTCTAACAAACTCACCACCTGATATTAACAGTCGTCTGAGAACGCCATCACCTATGGTCAGAAGAGCTGAAGGCTCGTCTACAAGATCTTATCAAGATGTTTCAGAGAGATCTGATAACTATATAAGTATAGACGGACCAACATCTAGAGCTAGTGTAGAGATTTTAGTTTCTGAAGAAAGTGACTTGCCACCAGTACCACCATATCCCAGAGTACCACCAATGGGCGCGAGATCAGAGCTGTCGCAATTATCTGAAGAAGAACTTATAAGACTATGGCGAAGTTCAGAGCGTGAAGTTAGAGAAGCATTGTTGGCAGCCTTACAAGAAAGACGCGCCAATTTAGATCCAAAACAAGATCCTGGATGAAAAGCAGTTAACGGTACATTTTTTGGAAAAAAATGGTCAGTAGAATCACTTAGAATCTCTCATCGCTGCAAGACAAGAGAGCGATAAGGAGTATCGACATGAATATGTGCAGTGGTTGAGTTAGTGCCTTTTTTATATTGTTTGATGCGGACACGTCTTGCAGGCGTTAGTTAGAAAATCGGTGTTCATTTCAGTGTCTTGCTATTATTATTATATTTGAAGGGCTGCCTTATTTTAACATTTAATTGCTTCACAATTTCTGGGTCCGCATCAAACAATCTAATGAATGGTACATTTAAATTTTGAGATTTTTACGTCCAGAAATCAAATTAATCATTTAATAGAACTTGAGGAATTGTAGATTTGCGAATTATGATGTATTATGATTTTATGTAAAATATAAAATAGCGGTGACCAGAAAGAAGATAAAGTGCTTTATCCTATATAGTTGATGTAGTGGATGATAGATATTTTCATTCAGTAAATGAACATATTAATGTAAAAATAATATAAGAATAGCACAATATTATGAAAGCAATTTAAGATTGTGTGAAAGTTTAGTCAAATATAATATTAGAATAACCTAATTTACAATAGAAATGAAACACCTAACTAAAATAAATTTTTAATCATCGTGTTGGATAAAGTAGATAAAATATTCATATACTAAACAAATATATTTTAACTCTTAAATATATGAAACAAATAGAATCAATGTTTATTATTTTAATTTACGAGGATGAATACTTACTTATTATTTATAGTTTTGTTTCAATCTTGAAATTTTTAATTTTTTGTTATTAAATAAAAACCAGACGATAATTCATACATAAAAGGTGTGGTGGTTCCTACATTTCAGATGAACGGCTATAATAAATGAATGTGTGCATGTATGTTAAGTTTCAATATATTTGGTGTACAAGAAGATGTATGGAAAAAATTATGTAGAGGTATGGTATGGCATCGATCGAATAAATACACGATAACCAATATAAAATCTTTATGTAAATAAATATTAATAATTATAGTTTTCTTTTTATATATATAAATATTAAACACATTAATAAAGAGAAATATTTATAAAAAAAATCAAACACATGTGTTTGAAATTTTTTTTAAATAAACTGATAAAATTGTCACTACATAGAAATATTTGCTGTCTAATGTGACAAACTACAGACATTTATAAATGGGGTATTGTTTTCTTAGATTCAAAATACGCATTTTTTGCGATATCCAAATATTAAAAGTAGTAAACAGGACAAAAATATTAATTTATCTTCGATACCAGGCTTAGACTTTTAATCGACTTCGACTTGCCCGGCCGGTTAATTTATTACTTTAAAAAACAAATTATTGAATGATTAGAAATGAATATTTCATTTGAACATGTTTTGAAATCACAAAAACTTGCTTTAATGATAATTTTTGTTTTATACGAATGTGATATAATTAATGTTCTTATACTGTATAAAAACAGCTGATTCGATACAGTTTCCAATTTAATACACCTTTTCTAATTTCTAGCACAAATAAAATTCTAAATTTAACATTTGCAACACAATATGATAAAACATCCAGATCGTTTGGATTATAAAAATTCAGTCAAATATTTATTCAGTATATTTGTCAATTTTTCAATTTAGTTCAATCAATAAGGTTAAAAAACCCTCCAGTTGATTAAAAAGAATCAATCTTTTGTTGAGGATGTTGTAAAAAGAACAGTGTTTAATGTTTGTACTATTGATTTGTCCCGGCTAAGTGCAAAACTAACTTTTCTCAATCTCTCTCCAGTATCATTAGTTATTCATTATATCATAAGTTGGTCTATTTTCCCATATTCTTGTTTCACTTTTGTCAAACGTATCAATAATAATAAAATTGCGAATTCTCACTTCTCAAAATACACAATAAGGAAACCATATATTTTGAGGCCAATATCGCGATATGGATCCAGATTTATTTAGATTTTAATCGTCTTTTCTTTTTTATTGTGCCTGTTAAATCAACAGATAGTCAGATCCCTCCCATGGCTATATACCCATGGGTTTCCTTTCTTGTCATAAAACTCAGTAGCCACATACTTATCTAGGAATATATATTATTTATTATCTTATAGTAAATCATATCATTTTCAGGTTTAGATGTAACAAAGGTCCCGTGATGTTCGATTCGTCGTTATAAACTTTCCAGCACTGTAACGTGGATCTTTAGACAATTCTGTCAATATGTTACTTTATTATATTTTATTATGTTAATATATATTAAATATATATTTCTGCAGTAATAATAATAAGAAATAATAATTTACATTTATTTGTACTTGGAAATATATTAATTAAAAAAATGTTAAAATATAACTAATTATGTGGCTGAAAAAATATTTTTTAAGGGTTTGTGATTTTCATAATTCAGTAACAATCTGTTAGTTCAACATTAAATATAAATATAAGTAACCAAAAAGTTTTAACATCCAGATTCATTTATTCTAAAGTATTTTCTTCCTATGTAGGTATTTTACCTTTTCATAAATAAATTTTATGTGTGTTGTTAGATATGATAAAAAATAAAAGTTTAATACTGCCAGTACTATCTAAATATGTAGTAAATAGAATTTGATACACTTCTTCCTAGACTTGCACTTTGTAGGCCTTAGTTTAGATTTTTTTCTCTCTATCTATTCCTTACCTATTACAATAGCTTTAGCTATATATTAGGATCCTGTATTACAATTAAACGTAATAAGCAATACTTTCCGACTAGATTTTTATACTAAAATGCTTTCGCTATTTTATAAAATGCATTAGAATATAAACTATCTAATGGCCATTAAGAAATCAAAAATTTAATATGTTAATAAATTTTTAATTTCACTTTTCTTTATCTTATTTCTTTGTTTTATTAAGATCTTGTTTGTCATAAAATACAGTCTTCGTTGTATAGGACTATTAGGTACCTATTGAAAATATATTGAAACATGTTCACGTCATTTGCCTATAGGTATATCTTTGTCCCGCAATAGTTTTAAATCTACCATTGACCAGAATGCACTAATTCTAATAATCATTGCAATAATATTATATATTTACTGGAGATATGTAATAAAACATTAGCAGCTTATTATCTTTTTACAGGAAATTATTGATTGAATATTTCTAGCTATTCTATCTTAATTATTTGTTGAATCTATATATGTTAGTTTCAATCAAGAAATACCAATAAAATCTCTCTCATCTCATAAAAGCAAACGTATTCGAGGATCTCCTTTGCCGTACTTGTAAAATAAATATTAATTTAGTGATCGATCAGAAACTGAACCATTTAATATTTTAATCTGTTGCGTTTAAGGTAGCATGCCGAAGATAAACTAGCAGCGAGGTACTATAGCATTCTAAATAATTTACAATAGTTATTATATGTGAACTAGTATTTGACAATAAATTACTACAATTGTTCCTTATGCATCTGCTGCCAATATTTATATTTAAAATATGTCTTCTTACACTTTCTTTCTCTCTCAAACTAACGATTATTGATATCGCAGTGCTTCGGAATACTACCTTAATTGTTATTTCATTTTAATTAAAATATACCATTTTATATTTTTGATGCATAATTTATTGTTATTGTCTTACTGTTTCCAATTTTGGACCAAACATTTATTTGTTGTAATTAAATAAATTAACAACAATTCTATTGGATGTGAGTCATCTAGTGATATTTAAAGTCTTATGCATTTCTCTCTTTAATGTCTACAATACTATGAGTAGATATTATGAAATTGCTTATAAGTAGAACATAATTAGATAAATATAAAAGTAATACAAATGTTAATATAACGTATCAAAATGTTTAATAAATTATTTTTCAAATATATATAACTTACACAAAATTTTTGCAATAAACAATTGAATATTATATTTATGTTAATTTTGCTAAAATATTTTTTATAAAAATTATCTGAATGTTACAATGTTTATCTTATAATTTTATTAGACCATAATTCAATAATATTGTATATTATATTACTAAAAAATTAAACAGGTCGATTATATATTTTATATAATGTATCCGCAATATATAATCCTACTTTTTATAGAACTGTTAGCAAAATATTAAGCTATTATATATATTTTATATTGGTTTAATTACATAATTTTAGTGATGGTTTTGTACAAATACCAAGAATTTTATGGTAACCATTTTAAATATAATGATTTTTAGAGTATAAACAATATTATATGTATAGTATATTAAAAATGGACTATTACAATTTAAATATTGTTATTGCTGAATTAATTTGTACTGATTTTTATTCATTTATTAAGGTACAAGAAAATATTACAGTAAGTGTCATTCTTGGACTCACTTTTGGGTATGTCTAATCATTCCTGCAGTTTAAATATTTTAATATACAATAAAAAATAACGAAAACAATAGATTAAAATTTAATTATGGTGATGGAGTAAGAGTATAGAATATATTAAAACATCTTAAATAAATAAAGAAATAAATTTTATCAGCATAACATTGAAGTAACAAGAGACGATAGATGTAAGAAAAAAAAAGCCCAAAGTAGAACCCTGTACTAAGACAATGTGGTAATACTCGTAGTTATCGTCTCTTATGGTGATTAATGACTTACTAAAGAATGAAGAAAGAAATTTATGCTGAAAAGTGATTGATATATTATGAGATCGTGCAGGGGGCGAAGTTCTATATAAAATAATGTACTTATATTGAAACACTTATTTGGTATTTTATTATAAAATAAGAACTGCAGTGCATGTAGTGGTCCAATCAATGTACCCTTACTCTACGTAATTTTCTCAATTATTTAATTATATTGGTCGCCTTTAATATTATAATCAAAGGTAATTTCAATATCTCATTATTCATTAAATAATTATTGTCATCTAATAAAAATAAAAAAAGAAATATACTCCACCAATAAAAACTACTAATACGGATTTTTTTTTATTTATTAATTAAAGTTAAAAAAAAAATTAAAAAATAATATGAAATTTACAATCTATATTCCATTACGTTTTATTGTCAATTTGTCCTAAATATCATTTAAACAAATACTTATCTATTTAGATGAAAATTGGTCAAGTTATTATATAAATCAAGGATCAAAACAATAAACATGCACATACAACAAGCAGGTAGGTATATATAAAATATTAACGCAAAATACGAGTATTTTGTAGCGTATCGCGCGTCAATAATCTAATATGGCGGATGCCCAAAATAGCACATTATCTTTTTTTATATTGGAATTAATC